AAACTTGATAAATGTTGTAGAAGGTATGATACATACAAAATTATTCATAGGAGAAGATTGGATATGTATTAAGCTTACCACAATACAAAAATATACTTCATAGACAAGATCAGTTTAGTCATACTCTATTGCTACCTCAGATATATGAAAATCATCACTTTAATATAGCAGTGATTTCAATACTACAAAGATTAGAATCTGTGCATTAGAATATACAAATATTTTAAATATCAAATTCTAATATTTTCATGTTTTAATAATTCCTCTTTATAAAAACTTGATAAATATTGCAGAAGCTATAATACATACAGAATTATTGATAGGGTAAAATTGGATATGTATTCAGGTTATCACAATAGAAAAATATACTTCACAGACAGGATCAGTTTAGTCATACCCTATTGCTACCTCAGACATATGAAAATGATATGCTATAAGTCATTCTCACTGCAGAGGATTTCTTAGTATCCTCATAGCCCCAGCAGCTGTGTTACACGGAAGTCCAGTCGCAAACTTTACACTCAGATATCCGTGTCCCTGTTAGAAGAATCACCTTATTCACCCACGCTGACACTTTATATCGTTCACATCTATTTTCTTGCCCACGAAGCATACAGCTGAATTTTTCATGTGCTGTAGTTGAAGTGTGCTGACGTCTCAATTCTTACGAACCCTTACGCGTCCATTTTTAATGATTACGTCGACGTCGTGGCATGTTTATACTGTCACATAACGATTCGAATTACTTCAGTATGTCACTGTGAATCGTAATCCGCGAGCTTGTAACAAGGATCTTATTACCATGATCGATGATAATGCAATTAGTCGAGAATTTAATGGTGCAAAATTGCAAGCAGATGCAAGTCTCATTAATATTAAGTGGAGTTTATTGAAATAATTTTTTTCATTAAATTATATTTGTTATATTATATATTTTTTATTAAAATCTTATTAGGATCATTATTTTTCCTAATTTTTTATTAGGATCTTATTGCTATGATCTATGATAATGCAATTAGTCAAGAATTTAGTGGTGCAAAATTGCAAGCAAATGCATTAATTTCATTAATATTAAGTGGATTAAAATTAATATTGAATATTATTCAAATAATATTTTATTTAATTCATTAGACTATAATTAAATTTTCATCGGTTCACCCCACGTAAAAGTTAAGAATTCTTTGTTAGGAGGTTGTGGTACTGGATTGAAATGCGAAGGTCGAAACAGAAGACTTCTACGAGGAACTTTTGTTTCCTTTTTCGTTTATTTTTCCAGGTAAAAATGTCAACGCTTTGGATTCTATAATCAGCCTCGAATTATTTATGTTGCATTAGCATAGGTCTGATTAAATTGGAAAATACGACTCAATAAATTGTTGTGTACATTCCATAAGATAAAACAATGATAATACGATTAAGAGGCTTAATTACTCTCTCTAAATGTATCAGGAAGAAATGCAAGGGAAAAGTTAATGTAACTGCTGGTGATATTTAATGATACTTAGCGTAATGATCTCGTAACATTCACTTTCACTAATAGTATGATTTTAACTAAATACTTCACTCAAATATTCATTTGATTATCAAGATCTTAAAAGTGATATATTATTCCTGCATAACCTAGAAACAGGAGAATACTATTTTTTAATTATTTCAAAACATTCTTCAGTATAAAATTGTAGCAGCTTCATTCGATATATTTTATAAACATTGCACGTACTTTCTTCCGTCGATTAATATTTAAAGCATCGATATTTAAGAGACTGATGAAACTAATTAACATTGTTTTTCTAAAATATATATTTTCACAGACATGAAAAGATCAAATCTATGGTAGAACAACACAGTTTACTCTAAAGTAATTAAACAGCCTCCTTATCTAAACAATTAACTGTGCAAGAACTTACGACTCGTTGCCGCGTGCACCTAAGTGCTCAATTAGTCGAATGGAAATCGTTTCTTCGAATCACCGAAGAAAAATCGTTGCCAAGCAGAATGAACCATTTCAGAATACAATAAAGAAAGATGACCGACGATCGTTAAACGGGCTGGTAAAAAGGGAAATCGAGACGGGAACGAAACGAAGGATCCACGAATTAACCCTTTGCACTCGGAAGCCTTTCACTAGAAATATTCAACATTTCTCAATAAGTTACACGCGGCACTCCTTCAAACGAACTGAACAAGAGAAGAGAACAATAACAATAAAATTATTATTTCAATATTTCACACATTTATAGATTACGCGAAGCTTAACCCTTTCGGGTTAACAGTATTTCGTTAGAAATACTTAATATTTTCTAACTGGACAAAGATGATATTTTTTGAAATTAACTCAAAGGAAAATCATCAGTAAATTGAGAAACAAATTGATGCATTGTACACGGTTCAATATTAACCCTTTGCACTCGAGAATATTTTTCTCAACAAATATTCATTATTTTCTGATAAAATACCAATGATACTTTTTACAACTGATATAAAGGAATACCTTGCATAAATTAAGCGACAGAACTATTTTATTTCGATGTTCCATGTGTTAATACACTATATAAAATTTAATATTGAATCTGAAATTTTATTATTTTGTTGGGTCGAATCCAGTGGTGACTGAAAGGCGCCTCTCGAGTGCAAAGGGTTAATATTCGGCATGAGACTTTATTATTTTGGTATATCGAATCGAATGATGACT